AGTGGGGGGGGGGGGTAGTAGTTTGAAGTGAGAAGTCAACTGGCGGTTAATAGACTTTGCCGTATTAGTATACGTTGCCCAGGGTTCACCGCGAGGAGGCAAGTCTATCGCACAGCCCAGTCTTAAAATTAGAAGTTAGCCAACAGCGCTTTCCTGAAGTGCAACATCATAATATTCGGCACTACCTTTTCTAGCCAACTTGATGAAAATCATCAAGAAACTTCAATTAATACCCTATTTTGACTATTATTTAAATTTCCAATGACTCTCTCAAACCAAGGCACTATTTTCTTGAAATATTAATTTTATTTGACAGAGTAAAAAAGAGAATATCAACCACAGTTCACAAAGATTCTCAATACTTCGACTTTCGTAAAATACCCGGACGCCAATTCGTTGGATGCGTTTCTTCAGTCTGAAAAAAAAAAGAACAGAAGTTATTCCATTATCTAAAGTGGTCAAAATAAGGAGAATAACTGCGAGCATCAAAAGAATCCTGTTCTACCTGATTTCTTATGTTATAAGATTATTCAACTTGCAAGATTCAAACTCTATGATTAAATTCGTCAATTTCGTAAAGATAGCTCATTTCGATGGTGGTTATTAAGGATTAAATGGAGAGTTCAGCCATGAAACCCCAGTATATATGCTCCACTAGGCAAAGACTAGCTAGATCACACAAAACAAGACATTTTAACCTCGCGGAGTGAAATTAAGTGGTTACGTTTTCAAAAAACTAAGGCTTATTCAAAGGACAGTTCACATCTATTGAGGTCCAACCAAAGTAACGTTATTAAAACCCTCATCACTCTCTCTCCTCGTGGGATAACTGTCCAATGTGTTACTATTAGAGCCGAAAAAACTTACTGCATTTTCATCTTCTTTATAAATTTTGATAGTTTTATCGGCCTCAGCGGTGACAAGACGCGAGCCACTTTTATCAAATGCCAGTGCGAAGATGCCTGCCTCTGAGTTGATGCTACCCGGTTGAGCAATGGAATTCAGTTTCTGGAAATTGTAGCCAGAACGCCAGTCCCAGAAGTACATGCTGCCGTTGTCACCTGAAACATAAGAAAATATAAAATCTAGCACACCTAATCCAGTAATGACTCAAACTACACAGGTTTTAATAATCGCTTGTCAATTTCGACAAAATTTAGAAATTGATATAAATTATTATCCATTTAACTTTCTGGAAACAGCTTCCTGTAAATTAGCCTAAAATATCAATACGGATTAAATAGGTACATGATAACTCTTGTGTAGTCTATTTAGATAGGTGAACGTAACTCATTCACTAAGTCCACCGCTAAAAGTCGAACCTATTAGTTGTGTTGTTCAATGTGTCTGATTTCAATCCGACCTGTTTCAATGTGGAAGGGAATAAGTTAACCTCTTTTCACAATAATGTGCAAATTGAGCCACAAAACGGGTAATTTACCTCCACTAACAACAACACCGTCCATGTTGATAGCAATTGCGTTCACGAGAGCTTTATGTCCTGAGAGATTCTGTAAGAAGTTACCATTTGGGAGCTTCCACTGTTTGATATTATCTGGTGAGGCAGATACGAAGGCATTTCTAAAATTCAATAAGTTAAGTTAGGGTTCTCTTGCTAAGAGGGATACAACGTTGACATACTGTGTTGGATGAATTGCAAGAGAACGGACACTCTTTTTGTGATTTGTTAGACACGCCATAGTTTTACCAGCCGCCAAATCCCATAGACGAATTGTTGAATCATGCGATCCCGTGATAACCTGTGGATCAGACTCTTGACAACGAACTGACGAGACGGTATTCGTATGACCGCTCAACGTGTGGATATTGACCTGAAACACGGAGACAATAAGTGGTAAGCATTATTGACAAGGCATATAAGTACGACAGGATAAATAAAAATAATGCGAAAGACCAACTAACAAAGTTTTCTCATACCTAGAAAAAATGTGATAAGCAGGAAAAAAGGAAAAAATTGCATAAAGACCGGAATACGAATGTTTTGTAACAAGATTGGAATAAAGAAACGTCCTTTCAAGTGTGAAAAGGATAGAGTAGTAGCACAGTGACAAAAAAATGCGAAGGAAGAGAAACACTCAAGATTCACAAATACCAACTACTAGAGATATTTTAATCACGTCAACTTCCAAAATCAATCGAAGGAAAATGTTACCCAACATTTGACTTGGTTAAAGTGAACAAGCACTGAAGTCTCGTGTGTTTGTAATCATTCCTTTTGCGGATCCATTTCAATCAGCGCTTGTCTGATCAAGCCGGCAATCTTTGCTTTTCGGTGTAAACTGTATTGATTCCATCGATTTACTCTTGAATGTAGGATGAAAATTATTTGCGTTAGCATAAACAACCACCCTGTTAAACCAACTGACCAATAAACCTTGAATATTGTAGAAATAATTCGAAGTATTACACTTATTTCGAGAGCTGTATCTGGAAATTTGTATAGTCATGAGAACACATTGTCATGAAGACAAATACGCCCCATTTAAAAAAAGCATAACTATCAGTAAGAGTTATTAAATATTACATGCCATATTCGTGAGACAGCACCAAAATTACACAACGGGGAAGATCAAAGGCCAACAAATAAAGTACCCGCTGATTATAATTAAAAATGAATAGCATTTCCTATGATGTCACTTTTAAGGAGCTGTAAAAGGCATTGAGACTACTCATGCCCCTAAAAAATCATATGACACATACGAAGCTTAACTGAAGAGACTCTGGTCTAAAATGTCATCAGGTATATAAATAAAATTCAAGTTGAATAATGTCAATAATGTATGGTAAATCTAAATTGCAGGCACTTAAAAAGTAATTGAATTTGAGTTAGATTAGAGTTGTGAATAAGAAGAGTATAGAGATGGGAAATATGCAACTACACTGTGAAAGGCGTATTTTTAAATAAAATCACATACTTTTGTTCTCATATCCCAAACACGAGCAGTAGCATCACGACCACAAGTGACTAGGACATCAAGAGTTGGATGTAGATCAATATCATAAACAGCTGACATATGGCCATGATAATGTCTGATGACTTTATTCTGTTCCAAATCCCAGCACTTTACAGTCTTATCTTCACCGCAGGAGAAGAGGTAGGGCTGACGAGAACTAATAACAACGCCACGAACCGCACTGATGTGGCCTGTTAATGTCAGTTTCAGATGACCACTGGCGAAATCCCAAACCTTAATCATACGATCAGCAGCGCCAGTAGCAAAGAACTCGTTGGTGGGGTCAAAGGAAATACACCGCACCCAACCCGAATGACCGCTGATGACACGAGCGAGTTTCCACGGGGGATGCCAGACAGGTTTGGGCATTGTTGGCGCTTTCTTAGGCAATATGAGTTTATCATTTCCAACTTGCACCATATGAGAATTAGGATTCAAAGGTTCACTAGATTCAGCTGGCTTATCGAAACGCACAATCTCCGACGAAGGTTCGCTCGTGCCAGGAAGGCCTAAGAAAAAATAATTTTAAAATATACCAAGCCTACTTAATTGCTTAGCCTTCTGAATAACAGGTTCAAGTGGTTTGTCAAGAATTGGACCATACTGATCACGACGTTTAATAGCCATTTTTAATTTGCGACTAAAACAGTGAGAATATTGTCAGAACCTACCTTTCTTCATCCACCTCGGGAAGATGAGATTGATCTGCTTCGAACATATCATGAGTACGTTTAAGAGAACGGAACACCAAAGTGTGAACTGAGTGTCGTTGAACAGACTAAAAACTAATAAGAAAAATTTGCTCACCACCATTCTGAAAAATGTGCCTATTTACAATTCTGAAGTTGAAGCCTGATTGGTCAAACGCAAGAATTTATATTAGCCGCTTCTAGTTGCAAATACAAAATCAAGCATTCAACATTCACGATTATTGATAATTCAATGTAATAAATTTAAAAACTTTATTATTAGCACAATATTATTTTTTTAATTTAGTTCGTTTTTTTTGTTAATTTACAAAGCAATATGTTTTAAGGAATTTTGAAGTTAAGCGTAGAGTTTCAAAAGTTCATTTCAAGATATGCCAGCTATATAATTAAAAGTTAAACACCCAGATTTATAGCTTATGCTTATTTAAACTATCAATTAAAATATTGCATGATTTTGATTGAAAGCAGGAAAAAATAAGCTGTATCTGACTTACCCTAGTTTTATATAGCCACTTAGAAATCAAAATTATATAATGAGCATTATTACACGCTTTCATGGCTCAATTTATGAAGTAAGCAATCGTCTTTAGACCTGTATACTGGTAATTATTTTTTGCCTTTTCATTCAAATCACACAATTTTAAATGTTCATTTCAAGTATGAACAGTGGCTTAATATATATTTCACATTATATTTAACACCCTCAATGCTAACATGCTATGTAAATGTTAAGTTCCACGATATTCGATTTTCTGGTTGAATGGAAAACTACTATTTTACCCCATTTTGTATTTTATTGAAAGAACAATCTTTTGTATGCACGGCAGATAAATGGTGAGTGCGCGGTTCCTAATACTGGAAATAGAAACACCGTTTAGTATAAAGTATGAAGTGGAAGTATAAAAGGATCTTCATAAATGTTTCTGCGTGGATAGTGAAGCCCATACTCGTGATAGTTATGAGATTTGTGAATTTTTCACGTAAACGCATCAGTTTTGATGTCCTAGTATACTATTGTAGAATATATGAAAACCAAATATTTAATATGAATTAGGTCTTGTGAGGAAGTTATTTTTGCGCACGTATGTCCTGAACAAGATTGCAAGATCATTGCCAATCAAAGCACATCCAGAGAGGGGAAATTTTAATCACGCATTTGAAGCCTGACTTGACTTGAATCTCCAACGAACGAAGCTTGAAGACCCCTATCCCATATATATGGTATAGTAGATTTACATCTTATTTTCGATGTTGAAGATGACAGACAATCATGGAATTATTCTGTATGCCCATCGTATACTTGTTTACCATCCAATTGCATTTCCTATATTTTTAAAATGTCTTTATTGAACCTAAGGGCATTGAGCCCATTCTACTCGGGCGTAAACAAAGAAAAATTTTTAACTTTGGTGGTAACAAAAGATAGGTAGGTAACCGACCACAATCACACCATTCTAAGGAGCAGAGAGATTTGTTTAATTAAGAGTTAAAGACTAACGGAGAATGTTAATAAGTTGTCCTTGAATTGGGCTAAATTTTGTTCCAAATTTGAAACTGCCGTTTAAATTGTTTAATTTGCCCACACATTTTACAAAATCACGTGAACATTTCATATTTGATTTTCTTGAATCAAATCCCATTTCATCGATCTCTTCGCGTTTTCTTTCCGAAAATCTGCCATGCGGGCTAGTTATTTATCTCAGGATGATTCTGAAACTGAGACAGAGCAGGTTTTCAATTCCTTTGAAGCCTACCTAAATATTGGAAGACATCTCCTTTGCCTAAAAGACTACAAACGTGCACTTACTTACTTAGATAAAGTTAGTTTCTACTATTTAATTTTCAGTAATATTTACAAAGAAATATAATAATCATGATATTTAATTTATTTTCATAATATTAGTTTGGTAAAAATGATGGTTAATAGTTTGTTTGCAATAACGTACTTCAGGATTGTGAAGATAAATACCAGGTAAAATCTTTCTGATGGCAACCAGAAAATCTGCATTGTCTCAAGTCAAATTTATAAAACATCTTCTGAATTGTCATCAATTCTCCCCCCCCCCCCCCCGGGCTGATATCTACGTATTAGTCCTTCCTTTTGTCACCTCCCGAAAAAAAATCGTGTAGCACACGTGTCCATTTGCAACAAATATATACCGGTATTTTTAATCGCTCCCTGTAGTGAGATGCTTTTTCATCTCCCTGGAAGGGTCCTATCTCTTTACGCTTTTTAAGTGACTAATGAATCTAAGTGTTCAATGGTTTATTCATTCAAATCGCGTTCTTGTAGACAAGCGATGCATTATCACTAATGAAACAATGGCAAATAAACTGAATTGTTTAATGAAAAAAGATAAATGCCGCTGGAAACGTCCACCATATTTTCATGTGCCTATCATTTCTTTTTTGGATTTTCTTTGAGAACCTAACGCGTTTTCCACCGTCTCCTTTTAAGATGGACTCTTTGTTGTCTCCATCTTCTTAAAAGACTTCATTAAGGCCAAATTCACCCGGATTCAAAATTTTATGTTTTCCGAAGGTTATCCATCAATTCAAACGATGTAACTCAAATGATAGATATCAACATCGTAGCAAACCAAGCTATTTATTTGCTAATCTCTGTTTAAGTTAATTGGAGATGAGTTCCCTCTTTCCTTATTTAAAGTTGAAAGATTTACCCGGAAAGGTTCTCTTCAGATAAGTTAATATCATGGTTAATATTTATAAATGGAGGCTATAAACCGATTTATGACTTAGTACATAACTACTGGAAGCATTTCATAATGCTTATAATAATTTCTTCAGTGATCACGAGGCATATTGTTAATTTTTCTTTTCAGGCTCAAGAAATCGAGCCAAATCACGTAAAGTGTCTGCTAATGCGCTCAACATGTAACCTACATCTTACAAATAATGATAAAGCAATCAGTTTGGCCAAACGAGCCTATGAGATGACCAAGAGAGATCCACATGTAAGCAGTTAATGATTGCATAACCCCCTGAAAACTTCATCAAATCCGATTTTTTTGCCTGTTTATTTATCATTTAAAGGTGATTTTACTACTGGCAGAAGCATACTATAGAAATGGTGAATTTGAAATGGCTCTCAAGTACTTCACCAACGGGAGACGAATTAGATCCTCAATGGATGTATTCACCTCCGGAATTCACAAATGTGAAGAGGCTATTCAGAATAATTGTGGTGGTAAATTATTCTTATTTTAAAAATACTGTTTTGTTTAGTAGGGACTGAGCCTAAATTGATGCCTGATTTGGATCTCACCGACTATTACTCCCAAGCGTTTCCAGTAAGTTGAGAAAATGTTTAATACCTATAAAATTCTGAAAGTCCTTTATCTCGGAAGGAATTTCTTTTCACTTTGGGTCATTATTAGAGGTTAACGTTAAGCTGGGCTATATAATTGACTTTGCTTTTAAATAGACATCTGTTCTATTAAATGTGCGTTATTACGGAAGTATCTAAAACAATCTCATTTGTCACTTTCTGTTTAGCTCTCACGGTTTTACATCATATCGATTTTCAATACAATGATTTCAAAATGCTTTTGTCTAACATATTAGTTCTAATCAGTCATCGTATAAATGTTATATCTTTTTCAAAATCGCTTTGTTCTCTGTTCTCAAGATCTAAATGACTTTAGGGACACATTAGGCCACATAACAAAATCAATTAATATAGGCAACTCAGTGTTGAAGGCCAGTAATGACACCTCCTAGAGGAATATTATTTTATTGTCAATTTTGTTACTCTCCATTCAAAAGTGAATGTGTTTTGTTTATTAGAAGCCAAAGTTAAACGCCTTTGCCTTATTTTTAGCTTAAAGACCCGTCCAGTAATTCAAGCATCTGGGATAAAAAACGTGATCAAGATACTTGGCCGAAAATGATGCCCCCAGAGATTCTCCGCAAAATCTTCGGGAAGCGATACTGGGAGCTCCCATATATTCAAGAGATCTATGATGCTGAAGGTAAGTACGCTCTCCAATCCTCCACACAATTAGACTTTACTTATTACTATCGAGGAAATGCATTTTCAAGCATTGTATATGGTATATGGCACATATTTGGTACAGCAAATTCATGCACTAGTGATCTGTTCACATAAAGTAAAATTAATTCCCGGATAATGCTCTACTTGCGTAACAGTTTATCGCCATACTTGTCTCGAAATCTATGCCAAGCTTTTACCAACCAAAGTTGAGGTTTCATCACTAACTTCAAGATAACTGTGGCCTGTTAATACGTAGTCTTTTGTTGAGACATGCGAAAGTATTATTCAAATGTTTGCTCGTCATAGTAAATTAAATTACGTTTTCTCGAACATTAATCGACATGGATAAGCATTCTAAAGAACTTGGCAAAATTTATCGCGTTACCTTAATGAATTACGCCCTCATGTAGAATATCTCCTCTATGTGGGCTTTATTTACCAAAAGGGAAGACTTCTAAGGACTTATTACGCAAAATTGAGTTAAATGTCAGTTAACTCAATAGGTATTCCATATTATAGCCAAGAAAGTGCCACAAAAAATTGGGAGTTAGTTTGTTTCTAATATTTCAACAAATTAAAGCCACTTTTAAGCTGCGTAGATGACAAATATATTATAGCCTCCCTCC